CCGAGGCCCAGAGCTCTTGGATTGGAAGAATCCAGCATCCTTTGTCTAGTACTGTGCGGTCACTCCCCACCCCTGCCCCCCACGGCCCGAGTCTGCTGCGGGACCAGGTACTCGGAACTAGAGCATCCCGCAGCGTCAGAGGCCAGGCTCTGCAGTCAGACTGCGAGGAAGAGCCTCCTGGCTTCACCACTTCCAGTGGTGTCATCTCTGTTTAGGATCTCTGTGCTTGGGTTCCCTTCCAATGTAACACCTGTCACTGCTTTATAAGTGATCGTGGGCATTAAATGAGCAATGGGTGGAACGTCCTTGACACATGGCAAATGGTACATACGAGGTTGAATGCTCAATGTTATTATGATCACAGCTGCCTTTGTGGGTAGTGTGAGTGCAAGAGTAAATTAATAATAATAATAACACAAATATTCATAGCAACAACTGCCTCACGCTTTGTGCTCTGCTTCTCTCTGCAGCCCCGCCTCCTCCTGATTAACTCCTCATTCTCAGGTGTTGTTTCCTAGGCTGGATCAGGGCTCCTGCTCTGTCCCTTTAGTGCCCCCTGTTTATTTGTGATGTGACACCTGCCAGTCTACAACGTTACTATTTCTTCCTCCTTCTAAGCAAGCTTCTAGGGTCGGGCCACCAAGCTTCTCCAGGTCATATCCCCCTATCTAGCACGTCCAGATGCACAGGGACATGGAAGAAATTTTCTAGCCCCAGCTGCAAGGTGAACCTCCATCATTACCATGGTTTCCAGAAGGAACTCTATGAACATCCGTAAAGAAGGGCCAGGGACTGGAAGGGTCTCTGAATCACCAGGCTTCCTGTTCAAGGTCACAGCCCAACTAGAAGCAGAGGCTTTGTGGACAAACTCCTAAATGGCAGTGAGAGCTTGAGGCCATTCACTCACCCAGTGCCCTTCCCTGGCTCTAGTCATTTAAAACAAAAAAGAAAAGCCAGTCCTCAGTGAAGGTTTCATGAGATAAGTGTATTTCAGAAATAACTGGGGTTGGCGTGGGGGCAGCTGGGTCTGATAAATAAAAATACCCTTTGAGTCTCATTCAGTCCTCACCGTAAGCCTCCGGGTCCCACAGAACAGAAAAGACGCCCCAGCTTGGCTCTGAGCAGCTCCTATCTTAATTCATTTACTGCAAACAGTCTCCATTAATGCAAACGGCAAGCCATTGACACTATAAATAACTTAAGCTGAGTCCTGCTGACAGCGGGAAGTCTGACACATGAAATATCGCACTGTTCCCAGCTCTGAATGAGACAGTGACATACACATTATCTTCACAAAGATAAAGACAGGGCCACAGGAGCCTAGCACAGCCCCTGGCAAGGTGGCATCCTTCTGCACCAGACCCATGGGGGGAACTTGAAAAACTAGGGTGGGAGGCAGAGTAATGCCCCTCAAAGATATTCACATCCCAATCCCTGAAACCTGTGAATATGGTCCCTTACATGACAATAGGGACTTCGCAGGTGTGATCAAGTTAAAGACTTTGAGATGGAGAGGTTTTCCTGGACTGTCTGGGTGTGTCCAGTGACATCACGGCGTCACAGGGGTCCTTAAACGCGAAAGAGGGAGGCATGGAGTCCAAATCAGAGGAGATTCAAGGACAGAAGCACAGTTGCAGAGACAGAGAAAATTTCAAAAATGCTCCGCCGCTAGCTTTGAAGATGGAGGAAGGGACCACAAAGCAAGGAATGCAGGTGGCCTGTAGAAGCCGGAAGAACCAAGGGGGATGTATTTTCTCCTACAGCCTGTGGAAGGGACACTGGCCTGCCCACCCCTTGATTCAGTCCAGAGAAACTGATTTCTGACTCCTGACCTCCAGAACTGTCAGATGATAAATCTGTGTTATTTAAGCCACTAAGTTTGTGGCAATTTGTCAGAGCAGGCATAGAAAACTAATACTGTACACGATTGCTCTGAAATGCTCTAATTAAAACCCTTTCCTCATCATCCATCTCTTTTTTGCTCCCTTTGCTTCTGGAGCAGGAGTGCAGGTCGGGGGGGGAAGGTTTGGGAGGGGGTGAAGGTAACCTCTGTGTTTCCCTCCCTCCCACCCATCTGCGGGGAAGTTGTCCTGCTTGGCAAAACTATCAACAACCATTTTTGGGGGGCGGGGGGTGGGGGAAGAAGGGAGTGTCCTTATTTTTTAAACTCTCACATTTAAACATACTTCTGCATGCCTACTGTCCCCCATCCTCTATGTAGCACCTCCTAGTGGCCCTTCAGATTGGCGAGACCCAAGCTTTTCACCTCTTATATCCAAGCCACCACCCTTTTTCAAAAGTGGAAGATGGTGACGTTTGTCAGTCACACTGGGGTACAGTCTTATAGACCGCCTGGGCTGGTGGTTGGTTCAGTGATGCTGGCATCCAGCACCCCCAGAAGTACTTCTCAAACTTTAATATTGCCAACAGCTCTGCGGATCTTGTGAAGACACAGATTTGATTCCATGGGTCTGGGCTGGTGCTGAGATCCTAATTTTCTAACAAGGTTCCGTGGAGACGCAGCCTGCTGGTCCTGGACCACACTGAGCAGCAAGGACAGAAGGAGAAGATGGTCAGCATCTGAACTCACCTGGGGGTACAGCTTTAATAGACTCTTACTGCTCAAAGTGTGGTTCCAAGGACGCAGCACTGAGAGTTTGTTGGAAATGCTTTCTCTCCGAATCCTTCCTTTCAGACCTACTGATTCAGAACCTGCATTTTCCCTAGATCCTTAGGTGATGTCTATGCACACTGAAGTTGGGGAAGCACTGCCTTAGAGCAGGAAGCACCTGGAGAGCTCATTAAAAGACAGACTACCGCACCCTCAGACTTTATGATTCGTGAGACACTATGGATGGAGCCTGAGAACATGCATTTCTGGCAAGTTCCCAGGCGCTGCTGATGCAGCTGGTCCTGAGACCCACAGTGAGAACCACTGCCTGTGAGTAAGCCCACACTCAAGACTGGGGGCCACCATACACAGCTGGAAGATCTAAAATGGACCCCAGGGACATACTTGCTCCAGTTTTGGATTCAGAGGCCTGCCCATTTTATTTAATGATGAGTTTTTGGTGTGTGACACATGAGATATATATGGCTTTGCATAAGAGTATCTTTTGTGTGCTGACGAGATGACTGGTGTCTGGGGGCTTCTGGATGGGGACTGGTGACCAGAAAGACCAAGGCATGGTTAGAGTTTGGAGTCTTTCAGTCTCATTCCCCAGCCTTCAGGAGTGGAATAAGGCTGGAAGTTGAGTTCAATCACCAAAGGCCAATGGTTTGATCAATGAAACCTCCACAAGACCCCCTCATTAGTGGGGAGCTTGCAGGTTGGTGAGTGCAATCATGTGCTGGGAATGTGGTGCATCCCAACCTTCATGTGAACAGAAGCCCCTCTGCTGGACCTTAACCAGACCCCACCCTATGTATCTCTTCATCTGGCTGTTCATTTTTATTCTTTTTAATAAACCAGTAATAGTATGTAAGACATTTTCATGTGTTTTCTAGGCTGATCTAGCAAGTTATTGAATCTAAGGAGGGGATCATGGGAACTCCATATTACAGCCAGTTGGTCAGAAGTACAGTTGGCAACTTGGGACTTGCAACTGGTGTCTGAAGTGGGGACAGTCTTGTGGGACTGAGCCCTTAACCTGCGGCATCTGCACTCGGTGCAGGTCATTAGTGTCAGCATTGAATGGAATTGCTGGTGTCCAGAGACCTGGAGAATTTGTTGGTGTTAGGGGAAACAACACCCACTAGGTGTCCAAAGTGCTATATTAAAACACCTTATCGTGGTTTCCTATAAATACATGCATTTTCATTTTGTACGATTTTTAGAAAATGAAACAGTGGATGCTAGCAGCATCTTCACAGGCAACTATGTGACCCTGACAAGGGATTCCATACTTCCCGGCTTCCATTTCCTCATCAAGAAAATGAGGGGGTCGAGTGGAGATCACCAAATTCTAAAGAGCTTTGTTTCAGTATCTCAGGTGAAGGCAGACATTTAAAATGACTGACTCTTGCCTTTTTTCATCCTGTGTTGGTGATATCCCTGATTTATTTAAGTCAGAAATACAAGCGTCAACTCCAAAATGGTGCAATGGGCTAAAAAAAAAAGACCCCGTTTCCTCCAAATTTCGTGTATTGTAAAAACAATGTTTTCAAAAGTGAAGACAATTTAAGAGATCAAAATCCTCATTCCACTTTAACACACAGCTGTTTTCATTTTGCCATACTCCCTTCATGTGCATGGACGATCTTAGAGTACATCTACATTCGTATTCTGCTTGTTCGCTTAATGTTTGATCATAAAAGCGCCGCTAGCAATATATAAATAAATTAGCTTTGCTTCGAAGTTACTACCATTGACATTTAACTTTGTTTGGCTAATGTGATAGGTGTAATTGGTATCTCATTGACATTCTAGGTTGTAATTTTGTATTGCTAAGGGTGTTGACCAATTTTCCATGTTTGTGTCTGCAATAATTTTTTTTTTTTTTTTTTTTTTTACTTTCCTTATGTATGAGTTCTGTTCGAGTTTAAATGAGGAAACTACTAGAAAGCACCCTGCATAAGGCCCGGCAGCCAAGAACCATCACAACAAATACGAGTTTGCCATCCCTCTGAGCCTCCTCTTCTCTGGAAGTGGTAGGGCGGAGGGGAGGTTGAACAAGACTTTGCGATGAGGGTCTAGCACAGCGCCTGGCGTGTAGAAAGGATGGCTCTTCTAGTGTTCTCTGCCCATCTGTCAGGGCTGGTGGTGTTCTAAATTTATTATCCACATCAACAGCGAGGATTCCATGAACATGTTTGGGGGGAAAAGGAAGTCTTTTTCACTCGAGGGAAGTAAACAAGCTGGGTTTTCCTCATTTGCACGATGGGGATGATATAACTACTCGCTGAGCTGTGAGAATGAAATGGGCTGATGCAGGTAAAACACTTGGCCCTGCGCCTGGCATGTAGGAGACATTCAGCCAATATTAGCTTTGTTACATGCTCTGTCACATTTGCACCCAGAGTGACTATTATTTTAATTTTAATAATCTTTGCCGGATTGCTTTCTAAAAATCGAGAGTGGATATCCTTTAGATTCAGAAGGATATTCTGAATTTTGAATTGAAACACTTATTTGCATTTTAAAAGTTTCAAGCGACAGGTCGTACTGAGTCTCTTCCCACAGCTCCTGTTGAAGAAACAAGGAGAAAACATTGTTAAAATGAAGCATTTGGATAGAGCCAAGGAGGAAAGAAAGCGTCTTCTAAAAATTCAGGAAGAAATTGGGAAGAAAGCATCTTTGAAAAATTCCTATTTGTTGATGGCAAACATTGCTTTTTTTTATGCCCTTGTGATTGCATCAATAGGCTCTTTTGAGGGAATTCCATTCAACATTATAAAAAGGTTTACCAGGAACTTGGATTAGCCAAGAACAACTTCAGATTGAAGCCATACATATATATTTTTTCATGTGTGTGTGAAAGTAAGGAACTCTACAGAGGAGACTTCTCATTTCTTACAACACAGCAAGTCAATAATTACACCTGGTGCCTCTAAAGTGCTTTATCATCTGGAAAGCATGTTCTCAGACGTTTTCTAGTTTGATTCTTACAGTGATCCAGCAGGAAGGCATCGCCGGTTCTACAACTCCTAATTTGGAGACGAAGACACGGACCCACGAAGAAGTTCTGACATGGAGCTCCCACAGCTACCAGCGGAGCCGGGTCTGCCTGGAGACCCCCTGGCTTTCCATCTGGGCTTCTGCTCCTCAGCCCGTCACAACTGGATCCACTAAACCCCACTGGTCTTGGTCAAACACACCCAAATCAACGCAGATGCGGAAAGAACATTTCTGAATTTCTAAATGTATTCCCCAACCCGTTTCTCAAAGACAGGCTTTGCCAGCAAAGACAAGAACGAGCTGACCGCCATCAAGGACAGTGAGATGGGTGTGTTAGCAACAGCTGGCCGGGTGCCGCCCGGAGCTCCCGCCAGGATCCATTTGGCTAATGTCACAATGCACACGCCTCAGTTCTCAGGGGATTGGGGCTCTCTGAAGCAAACACAGGGTGTGCTGGTGAAAGATGCGGACACAGCAAAGGAGCAGTACACAAATCCATGCCCTGAGGGGGACTTCCTGTAAGTAAGGACTTGCATGGGCTCCTCCTTGCCACCCTTGTGAAGCTCGCAGAAAGGGCCTAGGAAAGGCACCTTGTTGATACTGAGGAAGGACATGTTAACGCCCCACACTCTCTCCCTCAGTAGATGGTGTTTAGGAACATTCTCTTGGCCACATGACCTAGAGTAACCCTGTGAAACCAGCACCGAAGGCTCCAGATGATATGATAAGATTACTGACAAATGTGGACTGTTTCAAGCAAGGGTAGGCAAATAGCCTTCTTAGATACAGACGGTAAATACTGATAACCACACACTCAGAGGTGTTTTCTGTCCCAGGCGGAGCTCACTCCTTGCCTGGAAGGACATCGCTGGTCCCTTTCCGGTGTTGCTGCCATTTTTCTCCTACCGTGTGCCCTGGGGGTTCTGCAGCAGGGTCAGGAGGCCTGGGGGGCGGGGGGGGGGGGGGGGGTCCCAGCATGTGGTCTCGGTCAAGGCTGCTTGCATTCTAAACTCTGCTGCCTTTGCAGTAAATGGAGATAACAGTGTTTATTCTCCTTATGCAGTTCAGAGGTACAAAGGTGATCGCAAGCATGAGTGAGCACTGACAGTTTGAAAGAACATTTTTCTCCTGGAAACCTTTTCAATTATGTTTTTAGATTATCAGGGTACAGCATGCTGATTATAGTAGGCCAACAGTTCCAAGATATATGCAGAGAGCTCACCATTACTAACTTCCTGTCCTGCCCTCCTGACGCGTCCAAAGTTGACCCATCTCTAAATATTGCTGCTCCTGAAGCCATAGGCAGGCAAATATACATGTATGCTGAAGTTGTTTATTTGGTTTTACTGAAGTGGAATGATACAAACATATGGCTCTGTAACATACTTTTCCATTTGATGATATGTCAAAGACATTCCTACAACTCTGCAGATATAAACTTAATTTGGTCTTTGTTTCTTTTAATTCCTTATGAATACACACACACATGTGTGTGTGTGTGTGTGAATTGTATATGGAATCATTGTTTTAAAAAATCTTTTCCTCAAGAAAAAAAAGTTACAGAGAGGGAGGCAAACCATAAGAGACTCTTTAATACAGAGAACAATCTGAGGGCTGATGAGGGTGAGGGAGAGAGGAAAACGGGTGATGGGCATGGAGGAGGGCACTTGATGGGAAGAGCACTGAGTGTTGTATGAAAGCAATGAATCATGGGAATCTACTCCCAAAGCCAAGAGCACACTGTATGTTAGCTAACTTGACAATAAATTATATTAAAAACAAATCGCTTCCTCTCCCCCACAACTTCTAATGACATTACCCCTTGCCTATATATCCTTCATACATTCCTCCATGTTCATATAATCATAAAATATTTACACCCATATACATTCCCATCAGGATTTTTTCACTAGGTTTCAAAACTGGATTGTACGCATACTTTCCTTATTCCACTCAATAAAACCTCATGCAAATACTTACCATTTAAATGGTTTGGTATGTGATATCATTTGGGGGAGGCAGTTTTGTGCTGGTAAATATTTAACAGTGAACCTTAACAGGGAAAGCCTGAATGGTAGTGTTTGCTGATATCTGTGCCAATTTAAGTTATCAGTAAATCATTTCACAGTAAAATCACTTCATGACGAACTAAATGATAAATTAAATCATTAGTTGTTAGAGTAAAACGAAAACACAGGGAGTTGAATGCAAAATCCACGTCAAGTGTGAAGGCAAACACACGGCATCTAGGAAATTTCCAGCTTGCAGTTGTGGTTGCTTTGGGCTGTGCACAAGACTCCCAGAACACGGGCTCATTCTCCACTGCCTCAAAATTCCTTATGTGGAAAAACACGAGAGGCCTGGGGAGACCCTCCCCAGAGCAGCCACTGACCAATGACCGGTGGTTGGAGGGGAGAAATATCCCAGCCCTCACGCCTCATCAAGATGATTCTGGGTCGTTTGCTTCCCAGGACAAAGCGTCAGAGGCTGATTGCAGCAGCTGGCTCAAGAAATGCACCTCACTGTCTAATGCCACCTGCTCCCGCCCTCCACCATCCCCAACCTGAGGGGAGATAGTGGAGCAAGGACGTTGCCAAGACACCAAGAAAAAAATCTGTAGAAACTATGAGAATCAGAAGGGAAGATTACTCATGCAGCCCAATACAGAAGTAAAGTGGAACTGAGACACCAAAATCACTAATATCAGTGAAAGAATTTGGTGATATACCATATAATAAACTTGAACTACTAGAAGAATGAAATATAAAAGCCAGACAGAAAATCCCCAAAACATATAAAATATAAGTGCCAATTTTTATTTTTTTAAGTTTACGTATTGACTTTGAGAGAGAGTAAGCGTGGGCAGCGGAGGGGCCTGCGGTACCTTGTTACAGAAGTCCTAGGAAACAAACACAGATGCCAAGGCTGAGCCCCTTCTAATGAGTGGAAGGGTCACTCCTCCCTTCGTGCCCTTAGTGATGTTCCTGACGTTGTTATCTATTATTGGCCAAGTCGTGCTTTATGGATCATTATCTGTTTCCACGTCCATCTTCCCCTCTAAATTGGGCTTCTATGGGGACTAACTATGCCTTAATTATTTCTGTATTTCCAGAGCAGGGGAAAGTGGCCACCACATGGCTGGTGCTCACTAAATGTGGACTCTATGTGCTGATTAATCAATCAGTCATCTGTTTATTTATCTCTCTATCCTCAGCACAGGAGGAGCCTGGTAAAAATGTCAGGGCTGTAGAGGGGTGTCATCACACCAGTCAGCACTCACTGATGTGCTGCTGGCACTTAGGCCGTGGCTCCAAACTTTCTACTTCCTGCCAGTTGTCCCTGTCCCCCAGGACAAACTAGCCACATTTACCTCCTTCTTCTGTCTTTTGCAGCTTGTTGAACTCAAGTTCCTGCCCAGTCTTCTCAACTTTGCCTGTATAACCCTTTCTTGCTCTAAACACCCTCCCGTCGCCCGTTCCTTCCCTGTGACCCCGTTCTCTTCATTGACCACGGTTTCCAGGTCTATGCAGATAATTTCCAGACTCAGCTCTCCAACACCAACTTAAATCTCTACTTGTTTATCCTGGAAGTGCTAAAACAAACCTGTTCAACTCGATCTCATAATTTTCTCTGTCAACCTGCTCCTCCCCTTATGATTCCTACCTTAGGAATTGGCTCCAGGAGCTACACAGCTGTTGACACCCAGAAGCCCAAGAGTCATCCTTTGTTTCTCTTTCTCCCTCACCTCCCACACATTACTCATTACCAAGCCTTGAGCAGTCAACCTCTTCAATATCCTTAGAATCAATCGACTTTTCTCCTTCTCTTCCTACGCCTCCACCACTACCACCGCCAAGTGTAAGCTACTGTGCACAATCACCTGGGCTCTATTAGTCACCTCCTAACTGGTCTTCTTGCCTCCAGTCTTGCTCATCTTCCATCCCTTCTTCAGGTTTTACCGAGAGTAATTTAGAAATAAAAACCCACCTCAATCTGATCACATCACATTAAAACTACAGGAGCCCCAAGTATTGAAGTGGAACTCCTTTGTGGTTTGCAACATCCTTTTGAAGTCTGGCACCTGCTTCCAGATTCTCTGGTGTCTTCTGCTCCCACTATATTAAGATTTCTGTTTGTTCTTCAAACCTCCTTTCTCTCTCTCTCTTTCTCTCTCTCTCACCTCCTAAACTTTACACTTACTGTTCCTTTGGTGTGGACCATTCCTCTCCCCAATTCCTGAGCTGTCTGACCCCAGCTCAGTCCTCCAGGCTCAGTTTATGAGTCCCATTTCCTTAGAGATGCTTTTCCTAATTGTTTATACCACTTAATCTTCTCTCACTGTGCAATTCCTTTGCAATTTTCCCTTCCTCTTCCTCACACATATCACACTGGTAATTATTAGTTGAAATATCTGTGTTTCTTCCTAGATTGCAACTTTCTGTAAGGATAGGGACCACTGCGTCTCTAGAGTTTAGCATAGCCCCCACCCCCCACATAATAGACATTCAATAAATATTTGTCTAACAACTGAAGAATGAATGAATGAGTCTCCAGGGCACAAAGCAGACCCTCAATAAGAATTGGTTGAATTAATGAATGTAAGTACGTTTTTATATATTTCATTTGCAGTCACCTACTCCAAATCTTTATCATCTCAAAATTGGATTTTTAAAATGTTACCCTTACTGGTGCCTCTGATTCAGATTACACAGCATAACATGTGCAGACCCGCTGTCAAGAAACACATCTTCCATCAGGTAACATGCAAGAAGAAAGTTAAAGGGGCCTTGGGTGGCTCAGTCATTTAAGGGTTCAACTCTTGGTTTTGGCTCAGGTCATGACCTCACAGTGTTGTGGGTTCGAGCCCTGCATCAGGCTCTCTGCTGGCAGCATGGAGACTGCTTGGGATTCTCTTTCCTTGTCTCTCTGTTCCTTCCCCATTTGTGCTGTCTCTGTCTCTCTCAGAATAAACAAATAAACTTAAATTTTTTTAATTAAAATAATTTTTAAAAAAGACAGTTGATTCACAGCTCCCCAATAAATTCAGAGCAAAGCCTGACTCCAAGGCTATGTCAAGTCCTACAGCATGGTTGGGGTAGATTCTTCAGATGCTTGTGTACTAGTTACGGAGTGCGCTAATACACTTCTGTGGGCTAGTATGGTGTCTAACCAGCCTTGTTTGGTGAACTGCCTCCCTGAACCCAAACACCCTATTTGCAAATGAATGGAAACCCAGCCTGTGATTAAGTTGAGGGCTGCTTAGTTTGAACTGCATTGGCTGTCCCTGGAGGTCACCAGTGACACGTTCCCAAGCAGTCAGCAAAGAAGGGCAGGCGGGCTTTCAATAATCCTAAATTACTGACAGTGCTTGGGAGGGCTTGAAAGAGTAAGATGGTATGTTTGGCACATACTTGAAGGGCTAACTCTTATGAAGCTTTCAAACTTGAAGTGAGATGACTATGCATTTGATACATTTTTAAAAGTTAGAAAGCACACGGTCCTCAGGCTTAGGAATACCTGGATCTGGTCCTTCTTGACTTGCAAGATACTGTCTCTGTAGTCCATGTGGTGTTAAGTTGCTGACTCAGCTTATCGAGGTGGAAGAGGCCTGGCCAGGGGTTCTCTTCAGCCCTGGGTGTAAGGTTGGCTTGGGTGCAGACCACGGTCTGTGTACCAGTCTGGATACTTCCTCTGCCAGGATGAGCCCAGCCGGCAGCACACAGGTGAGATCCAAGCAAATGGTAAAGCTGCAGACTTTATCTTTAGCATCTAAGTCTTCGTTTTCTTTCCCTCTTACCTTGAGGCACCAACCACCCATGCTTACCTCCAGCCCTTTCTCTAGCAAAGGAGGAAGTCACCTGACGCAGTCCTGGACATCCAAGAGGCAGGGTAGTGCTGTGCATAAAGGAGAGTGCTGCAGTCGGTGGACCCCGGACTGAGTTTCATCTCAGCTCTACCATTTCATTCGCTGTGACTTTGGGCAGTTGATTTACCTTCTCTAGCCTCGGTGTCCTCATCTGTACAGCGCAGATCCTATTTGCTTGCGTCGCTATTTTGAGGATTAAATGCAATGATCCAGGAAAGCGTCTGTCCGGGAGGTAGTGCGTGTCTGTTCGGTATCTTCAGCTTGGTCACTAATTCTGCTGTAGGAGGGGGGCACTGCTGTTGCCGGAGCCGCGGGTGAGGTGTAGGGATGTTCAGAGAGTGCTCTTCTCTATGCTTAGCCAGTAGGGCCCCCCTCTATTACCGAAGACCTGCTCCCGGGAGTCCTGGGACCTATGAGGCAGACGCATGACTGGTTTTTCCAGGGATACACTGGGTACAGAGCCACACCCCCACCCCAGCACTGTCCTAGGATGGATCTCCCTGACCCATTGTCTGTTGAAGGCTGCCTTCTCCATCAGTCATCCTGCTACTTCCTCCCTGTATCCTCAAATGTTGGATGTTTTAAATTCAAAATTCATCTTCACTAGGCTTTGTGCTATGACCCGTGGTCTGTGGCCTAAGTACTATTGTGACTATGCTAGTAACCCCAGCCCAAGCCGCCCCCCCCCCCCCCACACATGACCAGGGTTTCCATCACCTTGGGCCTGGGAAGATAAATGCTTCAAGGTGCTCTAAGTTGGCAGGGCAGACAGCACAGTCAAAGAATCTGGCCACAAATGCCCACAGTCAATGGGAGAGGTTCTGGAAGCTTCACCGCAGAGCCAGAGCTGGGCATTCAGAATCTGAAACTACTCGCATCATAAAAAGGGTAAGGAATGTTGGAGATATTGTGGAGATGACTTAATTCTGCTCTGTGGTGAACTCTCAGAGTTGCTTGTAAGATATTCCTGCCCATGGCACCGTGGGGGCCTCTCCTGGCACATGACACCAGGCAACAGATGTCTGACTGGGCTTCATCTCCTCCCCTACATTGGACCAGTGCTGGAAGTCACACTCAGGTTTATTATTAATAGTAATAACATACATTGTTTCCATTTACTGAGCACCAGCTACGTGTGGGGAACTGTGTTAAGCATATTCATTAAATCTTGTTTAATCCTCTCGACAAACCAGTAACTTAGCTACTATTATTACCTCCATTTTACAGATGAGGAAATGGGGGTTAAGAGAGCTTAGGTAGCTTAAAGTTAATTAAGGTCACCAAACTAGCCACCTACAGGTTACAGGCTGACCCATGGCAAGCCCAAGCTTGGGATCACTGCATATGCTGCTTTCTGACCACTATACCAGTTGCTGGTTGCTGGTGATTTTGCAACAGAGCAGAAACTTTTGGACCTCAGACACCTCCCTGAGATGCTCATTCCTGCTGTTCTGCATGTTCCTCCCTGCGTGACTCGTTTTGGTTACAGTCTCCACTCTGCTCTACTGGTCACTGGGGACAGGTCCTGACCCACCCTTGTCCTGGTGTTTATTCGCCTCCAACGCCCTTGCGCCAGTGCTCACATGCTCAGTGTTTGCCCATTTGTGCTTCTGGTACCTGTTCCAGCTGCATCTCTGATCTTCTCTAGACTCCTGGTCAACCCAAACTGTCCTCTTCCCTCTCCATCATCCCTGAGAGCCCTGATCACGATGGCCCCATTCCCTCCCAGAGTGTCATCTCTCTCCCAGCCCAGGCCTCTCTGCCCCTACACCTGCCCCCCCCCCCCCCAGACAGGCCCATGGAGAGAGAGTGGGGGACATGGGACCCAGTCTATAGTCTTCATCTATCCTTTTGTCTTTTGTTTAATTATGAGAGAGCATATTTTAATGGGGAGCATGGGGACCATCTTGTTTGATCACAAACACACAAGAAAAATCATAAATACTTGTAGCAGGACAATTCCATATTTCTTAGTACAGCCAACACTTTTATAAATTGAATTTCTACCTGATTACCACCTAGTGCAATGAAAGGTTCTTGAGTAAAAGAGCATTTTAGTCTTGTTAGATTAGTTTTCATTTTAATTTGTATGCCACCCTAATCTCTACCTTCTACAACCTCATGCTTCCTGAATACATATTGATGAGCCATATTTATTCAGCCACAGCTAAAACCAACTAGGTCTTGCTGGTCGGCACTAACATCTCTGTGCCTTGTTGGGGAATCTTTCCAGAAAGCGTTCATGGCCCTGAAGGCGAGTCAGAGGAAAAGGATTCCTCCCCCTTCTCTATGACCTAGGAAAAATGTACAGGAGTGAAAGTGGAATAGGAAGGACCGTGCACCCATGCAACACATGGACAGGAAGTATTTTGTGGGTGATTCCAGCCCATGCTTCTACCTTTATGAGAAGAAACACTTTTTGAAGCTATATTATCATTGCTGTTGACTATTTAGTCAGGTTTGAATTCCTTAATGTCATGTGTTTGTGTAGATTTTCCCTTAAGAAACAACAGCTGCCATCCAGTTCAGTATTTTATTTCTGGATGAGGAACCAGCCTGCAGGGATGGCCACTGCTTGGTGCAGAGGGAAATTAACCAACTACCAACTCATTCCTGAGGATATAGACCAACGCTGGCCAGGCTTGCCCTCTGATGAGGGGATGCTGAATTTGTTGCAATCCCTGCAAGAGAGGGGGTTCTGCCTTAGTGATGTCCTGGGAAATATACACCCCTGAGAAGTGAGGGAGGTGAAAGGGACCTAAACTAGAGGCAGAGAACCAAGGAGAGGCTCAAGTGACTCACTTCACTTAACATCTGTCTAATCAGGCCTCAGGCAGGTTTCCAAGGGGCTTACATGCCTAGCGTTAAGGTATGCTTCACTCAGCTCACGTTTTTGATGTTGATAGTTAGTGATACACTGATCTTTTAGTCATCCTTTATCCTGAGTAGTGGACTTCTGAGAAAATAAAAGATTACAGATGTGTGAGAGAGAAACTGAACATCATCTTCAAACATCTATGTATTATTTTCCAGCTCCGGTCAAATTTCTAAACTAGAAGGGAGGCAGATGGCTTCCTGAAAATAAAAATAGATGTTATCCCCCAAAGTTTTGCAGCCTGTTTGAGGGGAAGTAGCTGAATCTAGTATTTGAAAGATTCTCTCTGAAGATACACATGTGGTTTTTATGTCACATATTGCAGTGAGACAGACAACTAGACATCTGTGAAGATGAGTGGTAGGAAGGCACAGATGTTGCAGAGAACAGACTCCTTCCTAGGCTGGAGTTTATTTCCATCTCCCTGGTGGACCCCTGGAGGAATAACTAGATTGCGGGAAAGATCGAGAAAGCTGGACCCAGAGAAGTTTTGGTTTGAATCTTGGTGTAGCAATGGCGTGGCCTTTAGTGGTTTGCTTTCTGTCGCTGAGCCTCAGTGTCTTCACTGGTAAAATGGGCTGTTGTGAAGATTTAATGAAATCACAGGTATTAGCCATCTCCTGCTGTGTAACAAATTACCCCCAGACTTAGTAACTTAAAACAACATCATGTATTACCTCAGTGTCTGCAGATCAGAGGTCATGGCCTCACTGGGTCCTCTAGCTGAGGGTCTCATAAGACAACAATCCAGATGTCAGCCAGGCTGCAGTCTTCTCGAGGCTCAACGGAGGAAGGATTTGCCTCCACGCCCACTCATGTGACTGTTGGCCAGCTTCCGTTTCTCACGGGCCTTTGGACTGAGGCCTCTGGTCCTCAAGCCCTGCTGACTTGGCTTTCCCTCAGCCCCTTTGCTCTGTGGGGCTCTCCAGGGGTGGGCCACAACGCAGATGCTTGCTTCATCAGCCCAAGTCAGGGAGAAGAGGCAGAGTGAGAAACGAGGAAGTCACAGTTGCTTACAACCAACCTAGCCTTGGATATGGCCTCCTGTCACTTCCACTGTATTCTATTTGTTAAAAATCTCGACAAAAGATTCACCTCACCTATAAAAAGAGGGGACTATGCAAGGTGTGAGTACCAGAAGGCAGAGATCATTGGGAGCTATTTGAGAAGCAGGCTACCACATGGTGCATACAGAAAGTGGTTATCATTTCTTCACATAGTTGGTGCTTAATAAATGCAGCAACCTTCTTTTTCCAGTTGACATAGACATCCGGAGCTTTTCAATGACAACACTATTTGGTTAAGGTATATTCTGTGGTCCTTGGGAATCTTCCACAGGCCATACAGAGCTGCAAAAATTTTTCAATATTTCCCAAGGTGGAACCCCTCCGCATAATGTGGGCCTCTGTGGGAGATGTGTGTCCAGAGGCAAGCAAGTCCAAAGAGCCCAAGGAGGCCAGAGAAGATTTCCTCCAAGTACTTACAGAGTTCCTACCATGTGCCAGGAGGCAGCGAGGAGTGGGGGGGTGGGGAGCGGCACGAGACAGACTGAAGGCTGAAGGCTAAGCTCACATGGAGCTTACATTTTAGTGAGGGCAGATAGACAGCAAGCAAAATGACTAAGGACAATGCCATCTGTTAAATGGGAAAAGTCATGATCTGTTACAAGCCCACCAAAGCCTCCAGTTAGTTTCCTGCCAGGTAAGCCAAACACAGTTAACACCTACAGAGTACATGATTATGAATACTTAGACCACTGCTCCTTGATCTCTAATCAATTAGTAAGGTGTTAACAGTCACCCTGTGTGCTTGAGCACATATGACTTCATGCCATGTCATGAGCATTACCTTTCAGATGAGTGATGGTAAATAAATAAGGCAAATATATCATCAATTAACAAATTTTAGGTAAAAAGGAGGATAAAATCTACAGTAAAATTTTATTTTTATAGTAAAAAACACAAGGAGATTTCCTGAAATGAGCTGCTATTCACCAAGTGAAGAATTTGGAGGCTGGAGGGGTGGAGAAACGTCAAGATACACAGTCTTTTGCTGTCACTTGGAATGTCTTTCAAAACATACACACATGCTTCTGAGGTTTTACCTACTGTATTTGGATTGTAACTCCAGGTTCTTCTGTAAATCATTTTATTGAAGATGTCACATTAAGCCGGTGGGATATAAGTGTGCATTTCTCCTGTATAAATGTCAGCTGATGAAAATATTGCTTTGAGACATGTACATATTCTTTGATGTTTCAGTACTAAAAAACCAGAGGGTTCTTACCATTAGAATATGAACTTTGAGGGGATGCCCTGAGGGGGAAGTGGGCTGATATGCTATGGAGAGAAACAAAGCAAGGGAGGGGGTAGTGAATTGCAACTTGAAATAATGCGGCTGGCAAAGAGGGTGGTGTTTGAATAGACTCCTAAGGAGAAGAAGGAGCAAGTTATGTGGACTTGCAGGGGAGGAGGGAATAGCTAATGCAAAGGGTGTTCGCTGAGGTAGAGGGTGTTGTGGC